TTTTAATTTACAAGGAAGTTTTAAAATGAGAAGGCTGGGCAGCCCCTGCAATACAGGGGATTTTATGGCCGATAAGCTGAACTTGGATTTAACTGAAGACTCCAGCCTAATTGTTTTAGGTATAAAATCCTGGCATAAAGCCTGAATGCTTTTATTTTTGCTCGCTACTGAGACCCATCACTCCACCTTAAAATAACGACAGCCTCCTTAATTCCAACTCACAACTGCCAGCCTCCATCATTATCTCGACTCTGGAAAATGCCGAGGCCTCAGAATCTCACAGCTGATGAATGGAGAGGCTGATTAGAACCACGGAAGAAAAATGGGAAAAAACTCCTTGACAGATGTCTCCTTCAAATGCCTGTCCCTTTTATCTAATGTCAACATTAATTTCTATGTTAACAAATATTTATTGAGGTCATGACTAGATGTCAAGATGCAAGCTAGGCTCTGGGGACATAATGGTGAGCAGGACACAGGCAATATCAAACCCCATCATTTACAAAAAACTCACCCTTACAGGTTATTGATTCTACTGGTACACTTTCAAGAGTTTGCTATGCCAGAGCCCTGTAGATGGTTCAAGGACAGCATACGGGGTCCATCAGTGCCCTCAAGGAACTTGCAGTCTAGTTGGAAAAGCAAGATGAAGCATATAATGGCACAGGAGAGTACCTGATGGTCTAAAGGGATGGTGCGGACAAACGGACAGAAGAAGAAACCAATGAGAAATGTGGTCAGGCTGACTTTAACTTGGAGATGGTTGTTAGGTTAGAGGAAAAAGGAAAAGGCCTTCTAAAAAGCAGAGCATGAACAAAAGGGTACACAGTTATCTTAGAAGGGCAGTGAGATCCAATTACCAGGAAGAGAAGTTCATGTTGGAAAGGAGAAAATAAAGTCAGTAAGTCAAATTTGGGCAAGACTGTGGAGTGTATTAAAACCTGGTTGAGAGGTGGGACTGAAGTTGGGGGTTGGGGGGAGGCACATGGAAAGAACTTGAACTAGTAGAAAGAGCACTGGTTTTTGAATCAGATAAATCTGAGGTCAACACAGCCTTCCTGCAAGACAGTCCTTGGACAGGAGTTCTAAGGAGAAGAGTTTAGGACGGCTGATGTGGAAGCACGCTTAGTGGGAGAAGTCATTAACTAAGAGATCAAGACGTACCGGCTCTAATCATCCTGGAACAGTGATGGCCAAGGACCAGAGCTATAGGGGAAAATGAGGAATGCGGAGATGTAGGGACTGCTCAGAGAAACTATTACAAACTATTACAGGTCTTGATGGAGTTTTACTGAGGGAATGAAAGGAAGAGGAGTCAGGTATGGTCCCTGCGTCTCAATTCTGGGTGATGAAGAGAATGCTGGGTATCAAGAAAAGGGAAGTCTTTTCATTGTGAAAGGAACAGGGTTAGCAGAGAATCTGAAAGGTTTGTTATCAGCCACTCAGCCTTTAGTCTCACAGCAGGACACCCGCCATGAAAAGTCTATTAAACAGGTACATAAATGGGAACAGTACTAGAGATAAAAATGTACATGTTGTAAGAATAGCTAACACCATCACATTTAAGAATATTTTATTAGAAAATAAAAATACTCGCTATTAAACAAAAATAATGGGTCTGATATAAATAGTAGAGAGAAATACATTTTTGTAGACTGTTTCTTAGTTCTGGGACTTAGGGGATCCTATCCATTACCACAACACTGAACGAATGAACTTCTGTAGAAATTCAACATATGGCCTATTTACATAACAAGCATCACAACTCCAAATGAGCCATTTTGATGTGTCAAGGAAATAACACCTTCATAGCAGACTACTTCAAAAAAGGAAAGAAAAAAAGAAAGGTTTGTTTTTCTTTTATAATTATGTATACTGGGTTTTTAACTCTTTGTATCAGGAAAATCGTATTTTAATTGTGTGATTACACTCGAAGGCAGAACAGTGATGGAATGAATTGATTAGCTGAATTATGCACATTCAGAAATCAATAAACAGACTCTATCACTTATATCTTTCCGTATCATATAACTGCCCTCATGTTCTGTGTCATGCTGATCAAAGCGACTATTCTCTGTGTACAAAAATTGTTAACAGTCCTCTGATTCCATTATCAGAGTCAGGAAAGGGTCTACAGAAGATGACAGGGCAATATCTATCTATTACGTACAAAACCCACTCCACTTTCATCAATGGCCAGACAGGTGGTGGCAGCTTGGATCTCACTATAAGCAACCTCAACTTCTTCCATTTCATCAAATCTATAACCAAAAGTTCTTGTCCTGGCTCCCACCATGGGATGCTGATTAAGACTGTGTAAAGATAATAGAAGAAAGACCACCAAGGCGCCTTTCATACATACACCATAAATGAATAGTCATGGTTAATGCCAGTGCAATTGTATGATCACAGACTGAGAAACAGAGAACCAAAAATGAGACGTCTCTAAAGCTTCACTTCTTATGGCAAGTATTTCCATCTGCACAGCAAAAGTGATCTACGAGATGCTTCCGACTGGCAGCACTTCAAATACTGCAATGGTGTGGCCTAAGCATTTTCTTTCCCTGATCATTATGAAGCGGTAAAACAGCTTCACAAGCCCACAGATAGCCATCCCCACAATGGCCACTTAAAAAATCAGTGGGAGCATAGAAACCATCAACTTAAGACTTTCATTAGGGAGCTCCCTAAAACGACATGAATACAAAAGAAGTTTATCATCCTGCCTGTCTAGATTAGTATGTTAAATTAAGTTGATTCCTAGGAAATAATTTAATATTTTCAGAGGCGGGCATTAAAGAGAGAAAGAAAATTGGCAATATACTCCCTTTGCCAGATGTTGAGTTTTTACTATCCTCTTAAATATTCCCTGCATTCAAGTGATTTGTATTTTTATGCAAATTCTCCTTGGGGGCTAGGCTAGTCTAGTGTGTGTGTGTGTGTGTGTGTGTGTGTGTGTGTGTTTAAAGCCACACACGGGGGCGCCTGGGTGCCTCAGTCCTCTAAGCTTCTGCCTTAGGCACAGGTCATGATCCCAGGGTCCTAAGATCCAGCCCTGTGGGGCTCCCTGCTCAGGGGGGAGTCTGCTTTTCCCTCTCCCTCTGCCTCTCCCCCCTGCTGATGCTCTCTCTCTCAAATAAATAAAATCTTCTTAAAAAATAAAGCCATACAGATACAGAATTTGACATATTTTACATTCTCTTCCTTCATAAAACAGGTTTTAACAAAGCTTCAGTTTAATCCAAAACACTAGAGACCGCAGCCATATTTGCCATGTTCAAACAGAAAATCATTCCCAAAGTTGATTTTCTCCAGTTAAAGATCCAATAAATACTATCATACACATAGTTTTAAGCAGTACAGTTACTTGACAAAACTGTCCCCATGTATACAATACACTGCTTTCCAGTTAAGTGTCAGTTTTATGACGCCAATGAATTACTTTATCCAGAAGGCAATCTTCTTAGTCTTTATTTTCAGAGTATCTTTCACAATAATTGGATTTGTTACTTGAATATTCCTTTTTTTTTCTTCAGAATGAAGCAATTTTGACTTCCTGTCCCTTCTTTTCCCTGCCATCTTGAAAACAAAATCTGCTTAACCTCCAGAAAACAAAATCAATCAGAACGGCCATGAATTGTTCCTCTCAGACAAACTAAAACGATGCCATAAAGGTCACACGGCAATACTCTCTCAAATCCTGGAATAAACCTCTTAATCTGCATAGGTTCTAAAATTGCGGAGACTTTTTTTTTTTTCTTACTTTGGACAGGACAGGCAAAAGCTTTTAACATAACATTTAAATTTTGTTTTAAAAAGCAAGGGAAAAATACTACATACAACGTTTTATGAAAGGAAAGGGGCTGTGTTTGAAGTTCAAGGTTTTTCACCAGTTCTCGAGCTACAGAGTCTGTAAAGGAAAAGAAAACGCTATACAGAAAGAATCTCTAGTGTCAGGTCTCCAAAAGCTTGACGACGCTCAAACCAGGACTGCTGGGAACTGAAAGCTCACGAAGTTCACAAACACCCCCCCCCCCCCCCCCCAACCCCCCCCCCCCCCCCGGGCACAGGGAAGCCTCTACTCGCGAGGATGCGAAGCCGCGATCGCATCTCTGCCCAGGTGAAGTCTCAGCCCTTCACCGCCCACGTCGGCCGCAAGGATTAACCCGACAGAGTGCGGGCGAGCAGGGCCGATCTCCCGAGACACGCCAAGTCGAGGGTGCAGAGGGCGCCAAGAACGCTCTCGGCGCCTCCGCCACAACCGCCGCCGGGGGCTTCAGTCCGCCGCCTGGTCCCGAGCCCCCCGCCGCCCGCGGACGCCGGGTCCGCCCGCCCAGACGCAGCGCCGCGACCGCTTCGTCCCGCGGGCCGGGCGCCCGGCGTCCGGCCGCATCGCCCCGCCTGCCACCGCGGCGACTGAGCGGCTGCCGTGGGCCAGCGCATCCCGCTCCCGCCCGGCGCCGCGACGCGGACGAAGGCGGGCTCGTCCCGGCCGAGGCGGGCGGCTCCGCGGCTCGGAGCGAGGGCGGCGGGCGGTCTCCCTCCGCTCCGCGCGTGGAAGGGGGCGCTCACACCCGGGCGGGCAGGCGAGGCACCGCGGCCGATTCAGATCCGGGGCGGGCGGGTCCACGTCGGAGCGCGGCGGCCACACGCTCGCCCCAGGCGCGCAAATGTGCGCCCGACCCGGCGCCTCCTCCCACCCGCCCGCTCTCTCGCTCGCGCGGGCCTGAGAAAGGAAGGACGCTGACCTCCGCGTCCGGTCCGCGCCGCCGACCCGCGGCGGCGCCGAGCGGGGGCCACACCCAGCGCCCCGGGAGGCGGCGGGGGCTGGGCGGCCCAGGCTGCGGAACGCGCGACCCGGGCCGAGCCTCCGTCCCGGCCGCCCAGGCCCCGCCGCGTCCGCCTGAGCCCCGCATCCCGGCCCGGGCCCGCCGCGCGAGGAGCGGGCGGGGGTGGGGGGAGGGGTCCCGGGCGGCGGCGACCGGGAGTCCCGGGCTTACCTCTGTGCGGAGCGCCGGCCGCTCTGTCCCGGGCCGGAGGACGGCGACCGGGGGCGCGGTCGCCGGGGGAGGCGCGGCGGCTGTGGCGGTCCCTGCGGCGCGGAGGGCGGGCCGAGCGGGAGCCGGTGCCTGGGCCGCGCGCCGTCCGGAGCTCGCCCCGTGCTGCCCGCGCTCGCGGCGGAGGGCGCAGCCAGCTCGGCCCCCGGACTGGATTCCTTCACTGACACAACTCCGGATCGGCCCGCTCCACGCAGGGACACTCCCGCCCCTCGCAGGCTGCCCCCGCCCGCCGGCCGCGCGGCCAGCCCGCCCCTCCGTGTCACTCACCCGGGCGCACACACCCCGAGCCGGCGCCCCTCGCTCCCGCTCGCACACACAGAGCTGCTCACGCCTCCCTCGGGTTTTTTATCCGCTCACACGCACGTTCTGACACAGATGCCTTCCCTCCACACGCCCTCCCTAGCTCCTTTTCCCACCCCACTTTCTAGAAGAATCCCCGTACAGCTTCCGCACTTTGCTCGCTTGCCCCACACCTACCTCCTCGCCTTTCCCCGAACCGCCACCTCACTTCAGCTGCCCCTGCTATTCGGAGATGTTGTCACAGCCCGCACGTGTTGCAGGAGAGTCGTCCTCCCACACCCGGGAGGGTGAACTTTGCCCCTCCTCCCCCCCCCCCCCCCCCCCCCCTCCCGCCCCCAGCACTGTCTACGAATGCAGGATGCTTCTCCTTTTAGAAGGCAGTCATGCTTTCTGGTCCGGAGCCAGGCTCAAAATGTAAACACAGGGAGCCGGTTTCCAAATGACCTGAACAACGAGGCGCTTAAAAAGTCCTGGGGCTCCGATCTGTGCTCAGATCCCGGCTGACCCGGAGCGCTCCCGCCCCTCCCTTTCGCTGCCCGCTCACAATGGGCTCCCGGAGGATGCGTTACTCTAACGCGTGTAATAACCGAGTTCCAGATCGACACCTGGGCATCAGCCCACGGATTTCTACCTGGGAGTGCAGTAGTCGGGAAAGTAAAGGCAGTTTCTCAATCAGTATTCATGATGATAGCACTTTAGATAACACAGCTCTTCCAGAGGCAGGAGAATGAAATTCAGGCAGCATTCCAGTTTATTTTTTGAAAAGGGTGACTTCTTAGACCCCTCCCCCCGCCTTTTTTTTAAAAAAATACTAGTAAGTGTTTCTCAGCGGCTCCTTGGATGTCAAAGCCCCTTACAAATATCAGACCAAGGTCAGTTAATGTCTCTCACGCTCCAAACTCTAAGGGGTTCCTGAGTGTACAGCAGAATGGTGTTATCATTCCATGTTGAGGAATTCATAATCTGAAATAAAATCCGACACCTTTCTGGCAAAGCTCAAATCTGCTAACATTATGTGCCTCGGTTGACGAAGCACAGCCGTAATAAATGGAGGAGCTGAAAGTAAAGGAACTCATTTTCTTTCTTTTTAAGATTTTATTTATTTATTTAACAGACAGAGATCACAAGTAGGCAGAGAGGCAGGCAGAGAGAGAGAGAGAGAGAGAGAGAGAGAGAGGAGGAAGGAGGCTCCCTGCAGAGCAGAGAGCCGGATGTGGGGCTCCATCCCAGGACCCTGGGATCATGACCTGAGCCGAAGGCAGAGGCTTTAACCCACTGAGCCACCCAGGCACCCCAGGAACTCATTTTCTTATGTGACTTGTGGTGTCTGTTCTTGTTATACTGGATTTGTATATTGATCACATAATTTAAACATTTGTAAGTGCTTTATAAGTGTTAACTGATTTAATCTTCAAACAATCCTATCAGGTAGGTCCCACTTTTGTCCTTTTTTTTTTTTTTTTTTGCTGCTAAAGAAATTGAGGCATGGACAAGTTAAATTACTTGCCCAAGTTATTTAGCTGGCAAATGGTGGAGTGAGAATTTGAAACTGTACAGTCTGGCCCCACCAGTGCTGCAGATAAGACTTGCTTCCAGAAGCTTTATTACATAGAAATATGAAGAATAAATACCCCATTGCATATTAAATTTAAGAGTAAAAGATAACTTGTAGCAATTAGACTTAAGTTTGATGTGCATTTTAGGTTCTGTGGCAAAATACATCATTTAATTGGTGGGAGTACCTCATAATTACATATATATGTATTTATATATATACATAATATATATATATATACATAATTATGTAATTATTTGGAATAATTAAAATTCCAAAACGAATGATAAATTGTTTTCCTGGGAAGCCTTTGGAAATAACATTGAACTAAGTCTTCATTCCTTTCCTCTACCACTTCATACTCTTCCCAAATCGAACTTGTTTGGTAACATCGGAAAGAAAAACCTTTAAGAACTGAGTATCACCAGCGGGAAGAGTTTTCCGAAGCCCATACATGGCCTTTTGCATTTGGGGGCTGTTTCCCAGCAAGTAGATAGTAGCTATAAGAACAACTGGCATGTGTATTGAGAGCAAAATGTTAAAGCATTGAACTGATGAAAAAAACAAATGGAGAATAGGAGTGTAATAGTGGCCACTGTACCACAGACTGGACTAAAATTAATCTTCTCCTGGGAATGACCTAGCCCATGGAAAGACAATTATAAAGTCACTAAAGAAAATAATTATTTACTCTGGAAAAAATGAGAACTTCTCCTATTTCTGGGGGAGAGGGTTTTAAATACTTATTAAATAGTATATAAAAACTTTCTGTGCATCAAATAACTTCCAAAGCAGTATTTTGATGAGTTAAGCATAAATGATTTTAAAAACATATGAATTACATTTCTATAACTACATGGAGATATAAGAGTTGAAAGAAATAGAATATGGAAAAAATATTTATCAGTGTTTGCACCCGATATTGAAAATTTATTTGAAAAATATTATTTGAAATTTTGATCTGGGGGTTATCTCTCTGATACTAGTATGATGCTATGGTTCAAAATGATTCTCTATAATTATAATCCATGAATCTCATTTTACTCTTTTCTAAATTAAATAGAACATGAAGTCTTAAGAAAACAAGCAGGAATCATAAGAATAAATGTTCTTTGAGAGATGAAAAAAGTATGTTAGTTTATATATTCTAATGTTTCTACAAAGGTAATTTGAATATGCTTTCCTCCATATTGTCACCCAAACCCTTCATCCAATCTATTTAATCGTAAGTGTGGGGCAATACTGACCTATTCTTCAATGAGGCTGACTCTTTCCCTGCAGTATCGATTTCAGCAAAATGCCATATTCCACCCCATAGACTGTGCTGGGCTCCTGATTCTCTGGGCATTCAGAGCAAGGCTTACCCTCATGCAAGCAGCTCAGATCCCAGAAGCCTGTTAGAGACCATGAGCAGTTGTTGTCTCTATTACCATTTGGGCATCTGAATAAGTAATGGGGATAGAGAATGATTTTAGTTGCCAGGCTTTAATCTAAGACCACTAGATTACCGTGCTCCAAACCAGTATTCAGACCTGCTGGAGAATCATCATTTAGAAACCCTTGACTTTGACTCGGGAAGTGACTGGGTGCAATCTGGGTGATTTCGCTCAGGGACAAGACGAATGTGTTCTTTGTGTGTGAGTGTGACATGTATTAGGGCTGTCCACAAATATTCTAGCCCTGCTTCTTCTGAAGCAAACGGTACGATTGCGCTTCTCCATCCTACTGAAGGACGATGTAGCCCTGCAGCTTGCTTAGAAACGATGAGTATCAGTTCTGCGCAGAAGTTAAGAGCTTCATGCCTCAGCACACTCGTTCCCCTCCGGTACTACAACCAGCAAAGTGCCTGGTGATGGCTTCTCCATTGGATTGGAGTGTGCAGCGACAATGAGCAATGTCGCCCATGCTCACCTTTAGTGAATATGTAGTACGAGCAAGAAAATCAACCTTGTTCTAAGCTACTGAGATGCAGGGTTTTTAATGTTTCTACAGTATAACTAGCCTATTCTGATCAAAAATAGGAAGAAACAAATCACTGCAGGGTAAGCTGTGCCAGAGATTGGCTAATAATTCCCACATTTCCCGGCCTCCTGTGTAGCTCGGTGAGACCACGTGACTGAATTCTGACCAATGGAATGTAAGGGAAAGTTTAATCCGCCACTGCCCCACCCCACCCAGAAAATCTACCAGGTGAGCTCTCTGTTTAATCTGCCACGTGGTATCTCAGGAGTCTGGGTCTCTCGAACGAGAGCCAGCAAACATTTTCTATAAAGGGCCACAGAGTAAATATTCTAGGCTTTGTGGGTCATAAAGTCTGTATCGCAACTACTCAACTCCGCTGTTTTATAGGAAAGCAGACTCTATGTACACAAATGGACATGGGTTGTATTCCAATAAAACCCTATTTACAAAAACAGGCAGTGGGTCGGTGTGCCCTGGGTGGTCATCTGCTGACTACTTACCTAGAGGAGAGTAAAGATGAAAGGAGCTTGAGTCTCTGAGTCACTCTGTGGTAGCTCCTTGCTGACCACCCACAGGGAATTGTTATCTGAGTAAAGACCTGTAGGGCTAAGTGTAACTCATACACTATCTTATTCCATATTCCAGAAAAAATTCCAGATGGATTAATAATAGAAAAAATAATTAAAAAATTGTAAATTTTTTATTATTATTAAAATTATTATTTAAATTATTAAAAATTATTATAAAACTGTAACGGACTCACAATATTGGCTATCTTTATAATATTAGTTAGAAATATCATGATAAAAACCCCAGAAACTAACAGAAAAGATTAAACAGATCTGAGTAGCAAAAAAACAAAACAAACAAACAAAAAAAACAACAACATTTGAACGTTACCTAATGGGAGAAAATATATGCAACATAAATAAACAACAGGAAGAGGCTGATACGCAAAACAACAAACAGCTTCTCGAAATCAATAGGAAAAAGAAGCAGCAAGGTAAGGAAAATAAGCAAAATAAAAAAACTTGCACAGAATATGGAGAAGTAATTCTCAAAAGAAGGAATATATGCTAATAAGCATATAAAAACATATTCAGTCTCATCGATAATCAGAGTATAAGTAAAAACAAGACAGCATTTTTTTACTCATCAGTTTGGCAAAAAAATGTTTTAATATCAAGTGTTCATGAGTGCATATAAGAAGTAACAACTTGCATACTCAACTGACTGGAGTCTGAATTGATAAAAATTCTGGAAAGCAATTTGCAACATTTACAAATATTAAAAATGCATATATACTTTGTCCATGCACTTCCATTACAAGTAATTTGTCCTACAGAAACACTAAGTGTGCAAAAATACATTTATGCTGTATGTCTATTATAATAAC